AATGAGATTGGCACAGGATAGAGCAGGGTTTAGGGCTGTTGTACATAGGGTCGCTATGAGTCGCAAACGACTCGACGGCACATAACAACAACAACAACAGGTATTGGAGATCCAGACCTTTAGTATACAATGTTGTAGAAACAATATATTAAATGTACTCCCTGATATGTCAGGTGTTCTATAGAAATATGAGTAGAATGCAGTGTTTTTGTCATTGAGGGCCTGGTACTGTTGGTATTGACTTAGAGATTCTTTCACAAGGAAGATTTTATTAGTTTTGAGCAAGTAGGAGTTTGTCAAAGAAATTCTGGTGCCTTCGTGATTGTATTGGGTTGGGTTGTTAACAAAAAGATTTACGGTTTGAATCCACCAGAAAAGAAAGATGGACAATTTCCTCTTGTAAAAATTTACAGCTTTCGAAACTCCATGGTATGAATCTGAACCAACTTTATGACCTTGGGTTTGGTTACAATTTTGGAAGTTTGAAAAGCACAGATACTTTGTTCATCAAAGAATGCATTTCATAAATCATTGTATCTTTTAAAGAATTGTATCTTTTGAACCTCACATAGTAATTATACAATGTAAATGCTTAACAATTACTTTAATTAACCCATGAAACTTTTTTCTACGATGTTGCCTCTATTACTCAAGTAGGAGCCCTAGTGGCATAGTAGTTAAGTGCTTGGCTAATAACCAAAGGATTGACTGATGGAATTAATCAGACACTGTACAGGAGAAAGATGTAGCAGTCTAAGCCACAAAGATCAAGTCTCTATCCTAATATGTTGATATGAGTGAGAATTCATTCCACAGTAATGGGTTTGGTTTCATTGATGTTATTCTAGTAGATAATACTCCATGCTGAGAGTAGCTGAAAAGAAATTGAGAAACTAAAAAGGACTTTTTAAGGAGTCCTGTAGAAAATTGAGCTGGGAAAGCTTTGAATAAGGAAAATGGTAACAACAACATCCTCTTCTGCTTCAAAACTTCTAATATGTAGCCCATGCACTTCATCTCTCCTGCCCACACTTTATGAATCCAGTCTACAATCATGATTATTTAAGACCATCGTCCAGGGGAATGAAGAGATGGGCTGGACTAATCCAGTGGCAGAAATGATTAAATAGAGGGGCTAGACTTTAGCAGTTTTGAAGCAGAACAGATTAAATAGCCAGGATATTGAAGGAGGACAGAAAATGAAAATGAGACTGATAGGATCATGTACAGTATTATATGTAAAAGTAATCGCTAAACTGGTGATATTTGTTGAGTACCATAGAGTCGGAACCAACTCATAGCCATGGGAGGAGATTTCTCATCCTTCTGTCACAGAGCAGCTGATGGATTTGAACCTTTTGTTTTCTGGACTACAGTGCAGTTTCTTATCACTAGGATACCAGAATACAGACTGAAAACTACTACATAATTGTTGACTTTTATTATCTTTTCTGGTTGTTCTTAGTTTAGATGGAGAAAGGGCTATATTTTTAGAGATACACATGCAAGATATATATCAAACTTCAGATTGTTATTGTTATTGGTAGTTACTGAATCACAGTCACTTATCTACAAGACAACTAAACATTTCCCAGTTCTCTGTCACCCATTACATTTTCCCCCCCATTACATTTTAATCTATTGTTCTCTTATTGTTATCTTTGTTAGGTGCTGTCAAGTATGGTTCATAGCAACTCTGTGAACAAAAAATCTGAAACCTTTTCTATTCTGTGCCATTTTCACACTTCCTGACACACAAGAGCAACAGTCAACATGTCAGTCCACGTGGCTGAGAGTCTTTCTCTCCTTCACCGACCCTCCACTCTTCCCAGCATCATGTCCCTCTCTAAGGAACAGTCCCTCCTAGCAACATGCCCCAAAACACCCTCTCAAAGACATATCTGTTTGTTCTTTTGGCTATCCAGCGGATGTTCAGTGTTCTTCATCAACACAAAAGGTCAAAGGTGTCAATTTTTTTCTGTCATCCTTATTCATTGTCCAGCTCTCAGACGTATAGAAAGTGATTGGAAAGACTGGCGTGAATCAGATGCACCCTAGTCCTCAAACTGACATCATTACTCCTCAGTAATTTGGAGAGGTTCCTAAATGCAGTTGACACAGTGCAATGCATCTCTTTATTTCTTGACTGCCACTTTTCATTGTGGATCTGAGCAAGATGAAGTTGTTGACAGTTTCTATGTCCTCTCTATCCATCATGATGTTGCCTATCACGATGTCATATGGACCCCAGCTGAAAGTAAAGAACACCAGAATCATGCACTTCAAGAAGCATTCTGACTGTAACTCGTCCACATAATGCCTCATTTACATTGTGTTTCACAATCTTTCATACTATATCTCATATAATTAATTAGCATTGATCTATGCGTGTTATTACACCTTCTTTTCAAGTCCCCTTTGAATCTTTCCCATTCCCTCCCCTTCCCTTCAATCTGCCAACTCACTAATCTCTGTAATGTTAATGATTTCCACCCTTCACCTCTGTACTCATTACCTTGTTATGGCAGTCCACTGTACACTCAATATTTTTGGCCAGTATATTTAAGTTCCGAAACCTGCACTTGGATCAAGAGGCAGTAGTCAGAACAGAGCAGGGTAACACTGCATGGTTCAAAATTGGGAAGGGTGTACGCCAGGGATGCATCCTGTCTCCATACCTTTTCAACATGTATGCAGAGCAGATTATCCGAGAAGCTGGGCTCTATGAGGAGAATTGTGGCATCAGGATTGGTGGAAGATCTATTAACAATCTCCATTATGCAGATGACACAACCCTGCTTGCTGAAACTGAGGAGGACCTCATGCACTTGCTGCGAAGGGTCAAGGACTGCAGCCTTCAGTATGGACTGAGGCTCAATGTCAAGAAGACAAAGATTCTCACCACTGGACCAATTGGCAGCGTCAGGATGGATGGCGAAGAGATTGAAATTGTTCACAGCTTCAGTTTGCTCGGCTCCACAGTCAACACTCTTGGCACCAGCAGTCAGGAAATCAAAAAGCGTATCGTGATGGGAAAGTCTGCTGTTAGGGACCTCTCTACTCAGGAACAACAGTGTCTCTCTGGAGACTAAGGTGCTCCTGATACAGGCCATGGTATTTGCAATCGCTTGTTATGCATCAGAGAGTTGGACAATGACTAGGGAGGACAGAAGGAGAATTGATGCCTTTGAGCTGTGGTGCTGGAGAAGAGTACTGAATGTAACATGGACTGCCAGGAAAACAAACAGATTCATCTTGGAGAGGATTAAACCAAGCTACTCCTTGGAGGCAAGGATTCTGGGGCTTCGTCTGACATACTTTGGACATGTTGCTAGGAGGGACGGGTCCTTGGAGAGGGACATCATGTTCGGGAGGGTGGAGGGACAGCGCAGGAGGGGAAGACCCTCTATGAGATGGGTTGATTCGGTGACTGGGGTAATCGGGATGAGTGTGTCAGAGGCAGTGGGGTTGGCGCAGGATAGAGCAGGGTTTAGGGCTGTTGTGCATAGGGTCGCTATGAGTCGAAAACGACTCCACGGCACATAACAACAACAACAACAACAACATATTTAAGTTCGGATAAGGTTTTGTTTCTCCAGAGATTTTGCAGAGAACAGGAAAAGCCAATTTTAGCAGATAGGGAGAGGAAATAGAACACAGTCCAGGTGTTTTCTTAGTAGTCTCTCACCCTCTCTGTTTAAACCTCTAGGCAACCCAGCACTGCAGAGTCACGTCCACCCCTCGTTGTCCAGTCCATCTTTTCCAAATCCGCGTCTACTCTGCTCACGAGCCAATCACCGCTTCGTGACGTCATCACCAGGCGCCACTAAGGCAGTCGTCAGAGTCTGCACCACGTGTACTGTGTTGACTGTCAAAGTCTCAAAGAAAGTCCCATTCGCGGAAGTGGTGGGTTTTGAGATAAATTTTTGTACCTGAGCTCCCCAAGTCTGCGAATCCCCAACTATGAGCTCCCAGGGCGTGCTGTCCTTTACCCAACAAGGCTGGGAGCAGGTGCTAAGCAAAATGAAACGGGCTCTGGTCTACCTGGACGCCGCCTGCGCCGAGAGCCTGCACTGGAGCTGCGGATCCACTAGGCTCCTGGAGGCGGTGGGGAGTCCTTCTTGTCACCTGCGAGAGTTCGAACCCGACGCAGCTGGCGGCGGAATGGAGCAGCCCAAGGCAGTGTTTGTCCTGAGCTGCCTCCTGAAAGGACGGACTGTGGAGACTATCCGAGATATCATCCGCCGCAGCCACTTCCAGTATTGTGTGGTTGTCACGGCTGTGAGCCACCCTGTCCACCTCACGGCTAATCACGTGCCACCAGCGGCAGCAGCTGAGCTGGAGGGGCAACAGCCCGTGTTTGAGCAGTTGGAAGAGAAACTGTGTGAATGGATGGGAAACATGAACTACACAGCCGAAGTGTTTTATGCCCCTTTGTTGCTCGCCCCTGTTGCTCCCCACCTTGCCTTGACTCCGTCTTTTGCATCTCTTTTCCCTCTGCTACCCCAAGATCTGCATCTCCTTAATAGTACCCGGCCCGACAAGAGGAGACTGGGAAGCCTAGCTGAGTTGGATGCCACTGCCCTGACCCCTGAGCTACAGCTGCAGATCAGGTGCCTGGTGTCAGGCCTGAGTTCTCTGTGTGAGCACTTAGGAGTGCGAGAGGAGTGTTTTGCTGTGGGCTCCCTCAGTCGGATCATCGCTGCAGATCTTGCTAATTATGCCCCTGCCAAGAACAGAAGAAAAACTGCCTCGGGCAGGGCGTCGGTGGTCTTTGTGGACAGAACTCTGGATCTCACAGGTAAGTGTCATTGCTGTAGAGTACTTCTTAGACACTCTTCAAGGTTCTGCACATTTTACTGATTCAGCATATATTTTACAGGACTCTTTTCCATGTACTAAGTTGAAGATGCAAAAATAAACACAGTCTCTGATGTAAGACAGGTGGTAGTTGAGAGGGGCATATCAGGTATTATCAAATGGCCCAATGGCAGAAAAACAGTACAAGGAAACATATGACACATTATCACAAGCAGTTGATTACTGTTGTTCATTTTTACAGAGTCTGTTCCCACCCCAGGCAACCTCAGTGGGCAGAGTAGAACTGCTCTGTAGGGTTTTCAAGGCTGTGACTTTCAGGCCTGTCTTCTGAGATTTATCTAGTTGAATTTGAATTGCCAACCCCTCTGCACTTACCTGCTTGCACCACCCAGTTACTCTGAAATTATAATTAGGTTTCCTTTAAAAAAATGTATGACTGAAGGCAAATATGAGTATAAGATATTAACAGAACTGTATTAGACATTTTCAAGGGTTTATTGACTTATCTGAAGGCGTTATACAAGAAATAGGAAAATGGAAAGAAAATCCACAGAGAGATGGGGGAAGAGTACTGATACAATGTGAAGATTGCAATCAATGTTATAACAGAATTGTTGTCAGATACCATGGAGTTGACTACGACTCATAGTGAGTGACTCTATGAACAACTGATCTGAACCCTGTCTTATCCTGTGGCATCTTCATTATCTCTGACTCCATTGCTACAGTCACTGTATCAGTCTGTTTCATTGAGGGTCATTTTCTCCTTCACTTACTCTCCATGTTTCGAAGCATGATATCCTCCTCCAAGGAATGACCCCTCCAAAAAACATGCCCAAAGTATTGACACAAAGCTTCACCATTCTTGTCTCCAAGGAACACTTTGGTAGTATTTTTCTGTAAGACCCATCTGTTTATTCTTTTGGATGTCCATGGGATATTTATTACTCTTCTCCAACATCACAGTTCAAAAGCATCAATTCTTCTTCTGCCATCCTGATTCATTGTCCAACTCTCAGAAGAATAGCAAGTGATTGAAAAGACAATGGTCTGAATCAGGGACACCTTAGTCTTTAAACGGACATAATTTTTCCTTAGTACTTAAAAGCGGTCCTTGACAGCAGACTTTCCCAGTGCAATATGTCTTTTGATTTCTTGACTGCTGGTACCAAGGATGTGGGTTATGGATCCAAGTAGGATGAAGTAGTCAACAATTCAGCCTTTTTTCCCCTCTATCATGATGTTGTCTATTAGTCAAGTGAAGGATTTTTGTTTCATTGATGTTGAGATGTAATCTTCTGCAAATGTTGATCTTCTGCAGCAAGGACTTCAGGTTCTCTTCACTTCCAGAAACAAGGTTGTACAATCTATGTAATAGATTGTTGATGATTCTTTCTCCAATCCTGATGCCACTTTCTTCTTCTTCATATAGTCTACCTTCTAGAATGATTTGCTCAACATGCAGATTGAATGTTGTTGTTGTTATGTGTTGTCGAGTTGCCTGTGACTCATAGTGATCCTATGTACAATAGATCTGAAGCATGCCCTGTCCTGAGTCAGTCTCAATGACTTCTGACACAACCTATCCCTTTGCCCTAGTTACTCTATCAATCCATCTCACCCAGGGTCTTCCTTTCCTGCACTGTCCCTCCACCCTTCTGAGCGTGATATACTCCAAAGATTGGCCCCTCCTGGCCACATGCCTAGAGTATGTGAGACAGAGCTTCAAAATCCTAGCCTTCAAGGAGAAACTTGGTTTCACCTTCTCCAAGACAGATCTATTTGTTTTCTTGGCGGTCCATGGTATCACAACTCCAGCATCACAATTCAAAGGCATCAATTTTTCTTCTGTCCACCTTAGTCATTATCCAGCTTTCTTCTGCATAGCAAATAATTGTGAAGACCATGGACTGGATCAGGTGCACTTTAGTCTCTAGACTGACATTGTTACTTTTTAGTACTCTGGAAAGGTCCTTGACAGCAGATTTATTTAATGCAACTTGTCTTTTGATATCCTGATTGCTGGTGCAAAGAGTGTTGATTGTGGAGCTGAGTAAGCTGTAACTTTTAACAAACTCAATCTCTTCTCCATCCATCATGGTGCTGCCAGTTGGCCCAGTGGTGAGAATCTTTGTCTTCTTGATGTTAAGCTTCAATTCATATTGAAGACTACAGTCCTTGACCTTTTGCAGCAAGTGCTTCAGGTCCTCCTTAGTTTCAGCAACTAAGGTTGTCATCTGCATATTGTAGGTTGTTGATGAGTCTTCCTCCAATCCTGATGCCACATTCTTCCTCATAAAGCCCAACATTCCAAGTGATCTGTTCTGCATCTATATGCACATTGTATAGAGAAAAGATACAGCTCTGATGCACACCTTTTTTTTTTTAGAAATTTTAAGCCATGCAGTGTTCCCGTCCTCTGTTTAGACAATAGTATCTTGGTATAGGCATAGGTTTTGTATTAGCACTATTAAGCCTTCTGGGATTCCCATTCTTAATGTTAGCTGGAATTTGTTGTGATCCACATAATAGAATATATATGAATTGTTGAATGGAATACACATCAATTCTTTAGATCATCACTCAAATAAGAGTAAAATGTCTTAAGAAATTTTTAAAATGTTAATTGATTTTGATATTACTTTTGAGCCTATGTTAAGACTGCTTAGAAAAATCTCAATTATAGTATTGAATTAGCTATTTACATACAAAAGGAACAAATGTAACCCAGAAAATTGATAAAAGATATACTTGACATGTGCATTTCTGTTTGAAGATCTCTAATTACAGAAGTTGATATAATGCTACAAATGACAAAGTTGGCCACACTTGAGTTCAGAGATAATAATAAGGACACTAAGTAGTTTTGAAAGTAACAATAGTTATCTGGTCTTAATAACATAAAGCAGAAAGTAAGCTAAATGTAGTAGTGAAATGTAAACTTAATTATGTGGCTAGAAAACTCAGGAGTCTTCCATGTCAATATAACTTCAATATAATAATTAAAACATAAGTCTCTTAGAGGAGTGAACAGATTAATACTTGATGACTATATGCTTATCAAGGAAGATGAATATATGCTTAATCAAAGAAGCTGTAAACTGTTGTCCATAGAAACTATACATTAGGGAAGTCAGAAGCCTATATTTCAGGTTAGTAGTAGAATACAGTCACTGTCAGGACAGTTTCTTTTTTTAAAGTTTTTATTGTATCATTTTTATGTGTACCGTCAAATCAGATCTGACTGGTATAGGAGGAGATTGCCCCCTCCTTCTCCAGCAGAGCATCTGGTGGATTTGAACCGCATACCTCTGGGATTGCAGTGCAGCGTCTTGCCACTAGGCCACCAGAGCTCCCTTGATAGTTTCTTATAGGTGCTCATGGGCACCTTGTCCTTGAGCCTCATGGCTTTAGGCCAGTGTTACAAAGCTTTCAGTCTTGCCACTTATGGCTCTCTATCCCCTAGTCCTCCAGCAAACTTGGGTGAAGACTCTTAGCTCTTGTTTGATGGTGGGTAACAGTCCCAAGATCAGCTCCATTTCAGGTTGGCTCTCAGGTCTTCTGCTCCAGCCACAGCTGCTACAAGATCTCTGGCCCCAAAAGTCATGCATTACATGCCTAATTCTCCTTTTCTGTTGGTGAGACTCTAAAATTCAGCTTCTGAATGAGCTCTATTTATTAAAAAGACGAGCCAGTCTTCTCCTGGATAGGCTGACATGCCATATTTGCATATTCTCTCCCCTCCACGTGGCAAAGGCAGTCAGTGGCTTGGAAAACCATTTTGAACAACAACCCCTTAACACCACACACAACGTTTTCTAAGCCAAGCTTGAATTTCTGTCAGTTCTCTGTCAGTGAATATTTCTATCCATTTTTGAATGATCTTCAGATATATTTTGCTTTCATGTGATATTAATGGTATTGTTTGATAATTTCCACATTCTGTTTGGTCATTTTTCTTGGGAATTGGAACAAATTTGGGATACTTCCAGTCAGTTAACTAGGTCTTCCGAAGTTTCTGGCACAGGCTGGTGAACCTGTCTAGTGCTCTATTATTTGAAACATGTCCGTTTCCTACCCATTTTTTTTGGTCCTGGCTTTTTGCCAATGCCTTCTATGCATCTTGAGCTACTTCCTTGATGGCTATTGTATGCTAATCCCTGAACTATTCCAGTGTAGACCAATTCTTTTTGGTACAGTGACTCTGTGTCTTCCTTCCATCTTCTTTTGATGCTTCCTGTATAATGCAAGATTTTCCCCCATTCATTTCTCAGTTTTGCAACTCGAGGCTTTGATTTGTGTTTCAGTTCCTTCAACTTGATAAATGATTAGCAAGGCCTTCTATTTTTATTCTCCAACTTCAACTCTTTGCCCATTCCATTATAATACTTTACTTTGTCTTCTTGAGCTGCCCTTTGAAATCTTCTCTTCATCTAATTTACTTTAGCATCCCTTCTCTTCATTTTGTCTTCTTGATGCTCTAATGCAATTATCAGATTCTCTTCTGAAACACATTTTGTTCTTTTCTTCCTCCTCTTTTGTAATGACTTTTTGCTTTCTTCATAGATGGTATCTTGAATGCCATCTCACAACTCATCTGGTCTTCAGTCATTAGTGCTCCATGCCTGAAACCTATTCTGGAGAGGATTTTTAAATTCAAGTGGGACAGACCCAAGGTTGGATTTTGGTTCTTTTTGGATTTGTTTTAATTTTCTGCAACTTCAGTTTGAACTTGAGTATAATTTATTGATGGTCTCCAAATTTTCTGGCACAGGCTGGTGAGCATGTTCCTGGCTACATCTATTAATTGAAACATGTTAATTGGTATCCAATTGATTCCTTGGGCCTCATTTATTGCCAAAGCCTTCAGTGCAGCTTAAACTTCTTCCCTCATTATCGCCTACACCAAGAGGCTGTTGTACAAAAAGATCAAGGAAACAACACTTTATGGTTTAGAATTAAGAAAGATATACACCAGAG